TAATATATATATATATATANATTANATANANATATANATATAATATATAATATATATATATATATATATATATATATATATATATATATCACTATATATCTATATTTCACACATGTATATCAATGCATTTATACATTGCTATATATATATATATATATATCTCTCTCTCTTTCTTTTCAATGTATACACATATACATATATATATGTATTGATATCTTGATATGTATATATGTATATCAACACCTTATCTATATATATTTATATATATATAGATGTGGGTGTATTTGTATTGGTATTTGTATCTATATGTGTAATTATTTATGTATATATATGTATATATATTTATAGATATAAAGATATGCAGATATATCGATATATAGATATAAAGGTATATTAATTCGCATTGCTATACACGAGCAATATATATACAAATATGTACATGTTCTTTCATTTTTTGGGTTGTTTTGGCAATTTTTTCACTTTATCTCAGTCTGACGCTTGGTCAGTACTAATTATTAATTTCGATGGGGTTTTTTAACTGTACAGTGTGAGATGCACTACACTGGTTCTCTGACCAATGGTAAGGTGTTCGATTCTAGTAGAACCAAGCAACGCACCTTCAGATTCCAGGTGGGAGTAGGACAAGTCATCAAGGGCTGGGACGGTATGTAGTTCTCGTGGTGTATATAGGCATAGCTAGTTGATACTAATAAGGAACCAAGTTTCCGGAGGAAGTGCACAATATATATGTCGCGCTGAATCGATCAGATGTGTGTTCCCGTTGAGCTCTTTTAGGCCGCAAATATACCTTTTTGTCATATCGAATTGCCAAGATATCCTATCTTGTATTGCTTGATAGGTTTCTTATGAACAACATTTGTGAACATCTTCGGAGTTCAGCACTCGGTATCTATTGAAGTTCGTCACACCTGTCCTTGATGCATATACACTCAGTTGGCAGTTTTCCGCGCATTTGATGTTTTTATTTTCTACCGTAGAATTAAATGATCGTGCCATTGAAAGGCGTATTATCAATTGATGCGCGTATCACTCTTGCCTTTGCTAGTTCGGATATATCTCATACCGGGGCGTGCTAGGTCTAATCAAACACAAATCTCCAGTCGCCCTATTCAAGAGTGAGCAGCTGCGAGGCTCTGCGCGTCGGCTATACACCGACAATAAACGTAGCACATTGAACGTGTAAACAATGCACTAGTATGTCTTGAATGCATGTGACGTACTTCTAACTTTCTCCTCTCAACCGCCACATTTTCGCTGCTGGTCTAACCCGATTGTGCTGGATGTGGATCCATGCAGAGGGCGTCGTTACCATGAAGAAGGGGTATGTTCACTTGTTAAGTCATTATGCGCTGCACTGTGTTTGGTCTTAGTGTACGTACGGCCGTGTACAGGCGTGTATCTACTATCCTCAATACATCCGAGACTCTGGCGAGAGTCTACGTGGGTACGCTCGGCGCATTGTTCCGAGAACTTCGCCCGGCAGAAACCTAATACATATCATTTTAACACACACACATGTTTATTTATATTCGTGACAACCACCAGATTCATTAAGTAGGCCCACGCGACTTCGTATAGCATGTATTTGATAATATTGTCTTGTGTCACTCCACGCCCATGCCTTCACTCACAGCATCAAATTTGGTCACAATTCTCAGTGAGCAAGCGATCCTTATCTGCGCGTCTGGACATGCCTATGGCCCAGGTGGTATCCCTGGTGTAATCCCACCAGCCGCCACACTCATCTTCGATGTGGAGCTGTTGAACTTTCAGTAGATCTGCTCTGAGCTATTCCGAATTTGATTGAGTCTAGCAAGCGAGTCCTTGTTCTAGAGAATAACATGTTTTGTATACAAAAAAGAGCAGTTTGCTCAATATGAATATTAAAGAATACTAGGTGTAGAATATTCCTATTGGAATGAAGTGGAAATCAATTGTTGTTTACCCTTTGAGACAACTCTTTCTCGCCAATATGTGACCTATTCTCTAGATGTCTGTGAGTTTCTTATAATCTGTTCCTCAGCATATACATTATCTTGGGGTTTCTTATCGCCTGTTCGTCAGCATATATATTGTCTTAGAGTTTCTTATATCGTCTGTTCCTCAGCATATATGATTTTTTTTGTTTCTTACCACCTGTTCCTAAGCATATATTATCTTAGGGTGTCTTATCGCCTGTTCCTCAGCATATATATATTATCTTTGGGGTTTTTATCGCCTGTTCAATCAGTATGTACATTATCTTGGGGTTTCTTATAACCTGTTCCTAAGCGTATACAATATCTTGGGGTTTTATCGCCTGTTCCTCAGCATATTTATTATCTTGGGGTTTCTTATCTCCTGTTCGTCAGCATACATATTATCTTAGAGTTTCTTGTATCGTCTGTTCCTCAGCATATATGTTATTTTTTGTTCTTATCACCTGTTCCTCAGCATATTTATTATCTTAGGGGTTCTTATCGCCTAATCCTCAGCACGTAGGATAAATTTTTTTTTGATCGCCTAATCCTCAGCATATATATTATCCTGGGGTTTCTTATCTAGTCCTCAGCACGTATGATATTTTTTTGTTTCTGATCGCCTAATCCTCGGCATATATATTATCCTGGGGTTTCTTATCGCCTATTCCTCAAAATATATTATCTTCAGATTTTTTTTTCGCATGTTCCTCAACATATATATTATTGTGCAGTGCTTGAATTGGAGACAATCCTTATACAATTGGTGAATACCATCGTATGTTGTAGGAAACGGACTCGGCACAATGCTGACCCGACCTCGGTACGTGTAATAACACTAAATATCACATAGTTAAGTGTTCTGATGATTTGTCTGTATTCAAGAATAATGATGAAAAAAACAATTGAGACTAATAGCATTTTTGTTTATAGGCCCCCGATAATACAAGCTGTTGCATATATCAAGATTGTCATAATGGTCGGCTAGTAACGGGCACCGTTCCATCAATCCTCAAGTAAATCTATTATACCTCTGTCATATAAGTTACTTTGCAAAGAGAGGTCGATCTCTATTGTGGCGTTAATTGCATTCCGAACCCTCCAGATATCAAGCCACTATAATAAAAACTATTTACACTTGAAATGAATGAGAATGGCCGATTTTTTTTTGAGCTAGAGGCCTTTCTCCATTCACCTTTGCTGCTGTGTTTCCAATCGAGATAGTCGTGTGTACCTGCCAATTTGTGCCCACATGGCGTGTGTAACAATTCCTATTCGCTAAACGTCATATTCCGACCTTCATGCGGATGGTTCGTCTGTGATATCTACCTAAGAGTATTTCAAACATACTGTTGTGATCCAGCATGAAATTACCTTCCAGGCGTTGTCCATGGCTGCCGAGACTTTTTAATATCATATAAGTATTGCCAAAACATTTATTGATGAAATGTACGATGTGACTCATGAATACGAGATGAACAGATAGGTGATATTTAGAGTCCAGACGAGTAATTTCCGTCACTGTTATCTTCTTTCTTAATTTATGTTTATACGACTCGAGCGTGCAATAATAGACAATTTTACTGCTGGACACACGGAGGTTGCTACAAGCAATCCATGTAAAGAAGCCACCACAGATGATTCAGACTTCTCCAATACGAACAGTATATTCACGAGTGCGCGTATACTTTCTCAACATACAATGGTGGTAGCATTTATTCTTTAAAAGACGAGGAAGGCCGGTTTACAAGCTTATTTATGAATTCCAGATATATATATATATATATTTATTTTTTGGACATATAGGGAATCTTAAAATGTCGGGTGCGGATAATTAATTCTCAATATGATAAAGGCTCGATCTGTAATTTAAGCTGTTCAAAAATGGCTTGTACACTCCAATGCTGAAGTTCCTTGTGGTTTGTTGGGCTATTTGTGCTAGCGATTCACTGAGCGCTGAAACTTCGCCCTTTTCGGCTGATGTGATTGCTGCCTGCCGCATCGAGCCGGAAATATTGATCTGCGAAATGGCGGCATCCTTTATATAGGTATCTAGCAAATGTTGACTTTTGGAACTGACATCACCGTTAATACTTGCCTCACTCAGGTTGAGAAAATCTTGCAAAAATAACAAATTCTCTTCGCAGTATTGTTCCCGCGAGTACTTGAGTAGCCGCTGTCGCAGCAAATTGCCTCGGTAGTCCGTTGAGGTCAGTAACTCTAGCAACCCCGGCTGCTGTTCCTCAACGCCACACGCAGTGGTAGATAACACGTTCTGGCGCTTTGGATGTATAGGTTTGAAGTGTTTGAACGTCGTTTCTTCTCCTTCACAAAGAGTTGTGTGACCAACTTCATGATAATTACTGTGGAAAGTCTTTCTGAGAGATTTTCTGACAAATCGGATAAGATTGGGAGCTGACATTCTTCTCAGATTGTTCTCTGGGACTCGATCGCACTCCTTTAACTCCTGTCCCAGTTCTTTATCTGAGGTTCGTTCACAGTCTTCTAGTATTGGCAATATTGTGGTGCAGCTCTCAATAGCACCTCGTCCCAGATGCGATTGCCATGTGTCAAACTCAAATTCGTCGTTCAAAACTTTGTCAATATTGCTGGTACTCTCTGAAAGGTCACCTAGTTTTGATACATCTCTATTTGATTTGGAACCGGCTGCAGGCATATCTCTGCATTTGAATTTTCGTGAACTGACAGAAGAAGGGGCACTAAGTGTTCGCATAAGTCTGCTTATGGGTTTGGAAGCAGGTTTTGAATGTTCGATAGTCGCACAGACGGGCATACCGACAGCAGTTTTGAGTGAAATACACGAACCACTAGTCACGGGTTTGGACATGGTGAATTTACTAAAATTTTATAGCCGTGTAACACTTCGTTCTGTTTTGTGACAATTGTCGGCGATCAAACTCCTGATATATCACATAAAATATGTGTAACAAAGGTGAAATATCAGGAGAAACTCATACAGTTACAAACCGAAGAAAAAAAACCCCACTTTCTAAAGTGAAGCTGTGGAGCCCTAAAATTGCCTATGAAGTATGAACGTCGTTATAGAAGCCTCTATGAGTCTATGACTCTCTCTCTAGTATTCAGAGTATATATAGAAATGAGTATTTAAAAAATAAATGGGAGTATGGACTATTGTCTATAGAGTATTTTTGTACTTTTGATATTTTGAGTATATTTAAAAAAACAAAAAAAACAAAAAACAAAAACCAACAAACAAACAAATACAAAACATAAGAATATATTTATAAATATGGTTATTCACTCCTCAGAGATAATGATATTGACTGCCTAATAGATTTAATCTGTAGAGTGCAGAGTTGACTCACTTGTTGACTGTAGAGTGTAGACAGTGTAGAGTAAAATTTATATCCCCTTCCACGCCACCCCCTATCGCCCAAGGCCCCACATGGCCACATCCCACAACGAACGGGTCATTCTCCAGGTCAGATAGGCAGACCTGTTTCTGGGCGCCACATTAAGCCCGCCAATCTATATGTGTCGGTCAGTTGCTAAAATTGACAGTTGATGACACATCGGCCATCGCTGATAATAAATTCGTTTTTCATATTTTTATTGAAAGCAATCTTTTAGGTACTTCATTTTTCATTGGTCGGTGTTGCCTTTCGTGGCCAAATTATAGAAATAGGTGTATCAATCCAGGCCGAATTATGAAAATTTTCAGGCTATAAATTAGCATAAAACGTTGCAACGTTTATATATTAAAAAGTATACGCAAAACGTTCAACTTTTATTTAAATATATTCTTATTGATTTATTTTGTTATGTTTTTAATTTATAATTATAGTTTTAGAAAAAGAGCACAAGTACACCATAGGTCCATAAGTAAAATTGAATGTATTGTTTTATATTTATTTATAAAAATGTGAGGAGTCAGTACACTCAGGAGTCAGCTGGTCTAGTGGATTCAGAACTCATTTAAAAAAAAATACCCCAAATGGAAATTCAAAGTTTCAACACCCATCCATCTACCAAGAAGGGAATAAAATCGGGATGGTATTAACGAAGCGTTCCGGGTTAGCTAAATCCGGATTTCTATTTATTCAATTTTTTTTTTTTTGCAATATTATGATCTGCGAAGACGTCAAGTTCGTAGTACGAGTAGAACACCCTCCAAAACGCGATTATTGCGTCGAAATATACATAATTAGTAAAGTTTCAATGTTGTCACGTACAATTTTTGTCCAAAAAAGATCGTATATGCATTCTTATAACGGTAATACAACCTACAGCTGCTAAAATCGAGCATTTGATGTGCCGTTCAGTCAATTGCACATGAATCTCAATTCCTGACCTTTTTGTCAAAATTCACTACATATTCACCCACAAACGATTAAAATCACACTATTATAGTTTAATTATGGACATGTAAGTATAAAGAAGGTCTGAAAACCATAAAAAAGCTATATATTTGAATACGCACACCAAATGGAGGTCATTGATTGACAGGCACCCACATGAATGGCGATTTTAAGCAAGTATAAAAAGCCATCTAGGCCATAATGATGGGTTCTGTACTTATAACACTTACATATTTTGTATATAAGAACCCTTGGAAGGTTCAAACTGCTAATATGTGACCTGGAAATCCAAAGACCTATGGCACGGTCGAAAAGTGCACAATCCTAATCATACATCAATGCTTCACTGCATGATCCATTAGAGCCTATCAACGGCGCCTTCGCAAAATTCTTTTGAAATGTTTTTCAAAAAAGTCTACTAAAATATATTGGAACTATATCCAAATCCGGATTTAGTGAGTTAGGTTAATTTAATAGGTTTACTTCGTTAAAATCGTGTCCCCATAGTACATGGATAGGTTGTCTGAAAACAGTTCAAACATCCATTTTTTTTTTGGAAATACTATTCGAGTCATTAGTCTATAAATACTCTTCAAAATTATTCCCACAGGCCACAGGAGAGCCGGCAGACCGGCAGACCGGCAGACCGGCAGACTGGCAGACACTATTTATCTTCAGAAATAATTTCAAATACTATTTTCCCCCGTTTTTTATAGGATAAAAAGTTCAAACTGTGACTTTGTCTGACTGGCTCTCTCAGTCTCTCTACTCTATCGAGTAGAGATGAGTAGAAAAGAAACACTATTGTATTTAGTTCATATTGTAATATAGTCGGTCTTTGCATACAGGCCTCATAACGACGACAAGCTAGATAGCTGAGAACGTAAATACTACTTTTTACGATAAAGCGCTCAATTATATAAGTTTTACGTATACCGTATTTATTTTGGTTTTTCTAAAACGACAATTTCAAAATATTATTTTTAAATATGCATTGGACCGGATCCAAAACTGCAAAAGTTCATTTCATTTATCAGGTAGTCGCCCATATTTTGGCAGATATAGTTAGGTGGCATATGCGTCAAGCCGATTGTTTTTTATATATTTTTTAATTCGTACGTACAGATTTACAGATTATGTACATACTTACATACCAATTACCAAACAGTCTTTGTTTGTTTTTTATATATAATATTTGCCTTGAAGCCTCTTGAAGCCTGACTGCCCTGGCACTAGTGTATAAACATCACAGCTGTAGCTAATAACTAGCTACGAGTCTATGACCACCGAGGAAATGCGCAAGAATATAAAGGCTGCTAAATCAGTGTTGCATATTATTTATAGAGCGTACAAAATACGTACTGTAGAAGTGTCGTGAACCCGTGTGACTTGTGAGTTGTGACTAGTACTGTAGCTACAATAGAAGTACTACAACCTATATGTAGTAAAATCACGTTAAAAAGCCTCGTTTAGTGTCCACTCTCGTTAGATTTCTCTCTTTCAGAGGACTAATGTCAAAGCTTATTGTAGCTATCAAATATCAAAATATCACGGCCCTCTGGATTTAGGTCACTGCTAAATTTTCGATGTTGTAGAGAGAAACCTTGATTTCCTCTCGAGACCCTATCCAGAGGGCCGTGAATATATTCGACAACAAAACGTTTTTATTTAAAAAAAAGTATTTGTAATATACTACTCTCTCTAGAGTAGTAGTGAGTACTGAGTACACTTCAAACAGACAAACTCCCACCAATGACCAAAGACAGTAAGACACCATACTCAGAGAGAGCAGAGAGCCTGAGACTCCCGCCCCAGAGGCCAGGACACTGAGGGCAGGGACAGAAACTCAGAAAAGAGCATGAATAAGTGAGTACAATAAAATGAGTACTGAGCGAGTCGAAAGGAATCTAGAGAATGTGTTTGTTGAACGTTCAGAGCAAGTATTTTACTGATTATACAATAGAGTAGTAAAGCGGGTTTTATTCGCTAAATCAAACCATTTTTAGCACTCTCTCATTCTATTCAATTTTCAACGATTCTCATAAAATTTTCAGTCTACGGAGAATTCAGAATTGCCAGTGGAGACCTAACCTCAAACGGTTTTCCGTTAAAACTATTATATTCTGTACCCACATTACGTAATGAGCTTAGGTGGAGACTGGAGACTTAAATTAGGGTTGATTGCTGGTCTCGATTCTTGAACTTCAGGCATTCAGTCCAAAATCCGAGGGGGGAGGGGGGGTGGACCCCATTTAGGAGCACCTCAAATATACGGTTTCTACTGCTCAAGCCCGTAAAAATGTAAATATTGTCCTCAGAGTCCAACTCCCCAAGCCTCACAGAATGAGGGCTGATGACTCAGATGAGGCCTCATAATGTAAATAAGGCCTGAAGTCTTGAACTTCTGAACTTCTGAACTTCTGCACTTCTGAAGTCCTGACTCCTGACCGTCTGACTCAGGTTTCAGAGGTGAACTCTTAACGTTTTACGTTGCAACGTAGAATAGAGATCCAATAAACGTTTTAAACGTTGAATGTATATTTCAAAAGTGGACAAAAAAAAGGATCCGTGGAACATTTTGTCATTTATCATATACTCTCAGACTTCAGAGGGTCATGAAAAATAGCGTGTTGGTTTAGTCTTTTTTTAAATTTTGATACAGCCTCACGCCCTCACAGCCTCCCAGGTAAATAGTAAAAATATGTATTTTTTTCCCAGCTAGCGTGTGCGTTTTCGTTCAACTTTTGATATTTCTTTAGAAACCAAAACGGAAAATTGGCTGATAAGGATTCAGGAGGAGTAAAGATCTCAGCCAGTATCAGTCCCTCAGTTCTCTCAATCCACTAATGCGTCTCTGACTCTCTGAACTTCTGAGGTCTAACCAGCAGACCAGAGGAGTGCAGTGAGTAAGCTCCTGTGGTAAATGATTCCTAAATTTTTCTTGTTTCTTTTATCTCCTGACTCCTGTTGAGTCCTGGAGTTCCAGGATACAAATGAGACTCTTCCTCTCAGTCTACTTTCCTACTACTCTCTCTCTACTCTCTAGAGTAGCAGAGAGTTCCCTCTATATTCAGTATTCTTTGCTTTGTCAGTGATTTTCGACATAGCTTTTGTCCCTTAAAAATCAGGAAATTATTTTTTATTCTATTTTTATCTTTTGGATATACTCTGGTCATTTAGATATGAAGCCAGAATGAATAGCACAGAAATGAGTAAAACCGATCCGAAACAGACACTCATAAGTTTCAAAATGCCACATATTTATTTCAAAAAACCAATTTTTCAAATTTTGTTTTGAAAACATACAACTTTTATAATATTTTTTTGAAAACATCCTGGGTTGTAGGGTTAAATAGGCTTATAGGGTGCATTATGATCTACTTATTACATTACGCTTTGTTAACTATGTATGTGAATTGGTTGCTCCATTCGTTGTACTTCGAGATTGAGATGCTTCATCTGTGTGCGGTGTGTCTATCTGTGTAGGACTGATACTTCTCGGCATTATATCGCTGACCGTTGTTTTATGATGGTGTGTAATATATAGGATCCCATCTTTTAACGTTGTAGTCAGCTCTAGCATAACTATCGTCTGCTGGTATGTAACTATCGTGAAATGCCGATTGTTGCGATTGCATCCCCTTGAAGAAATCCATTAAATC